CACCATTTCACATACTCTATATTTTACTTTTGTATCGTGTTAATTTCTCTACCCTTCTAGGAGCCAGTTCCACGAGGGCGGAAATTTTGTCTGTTCACGGCTGTGTCCCTAGATGCCTAGAACAGTGCATGGCTGGCACCCAGCAGCAGCTCGGGAAAGAGTGAATGAATGGACTTTTTATCCCTGTCATTCTTTCTTTCTGTCTCTTGTTTGTCTCTCTCTTTCTTTCTTTGTGTCTTCATCACTTGTCTTTGTCTCTCATCTCTCAGTGTCTCTCTCCATCTCCATCTCTGTGTTGCCCACTAGAAAGACACCTCCCTGAAGAACACCTGTTGAACCGACACTGTGAATGGCTAAAAGTCCTTGTCTCTCCTGGTACCTCTGGGAGGAGCTGCCATTTCATACTGCATCCCTGTGACTCTACCTCGGTCCCTACCTCAGTTGTCACCCTCTCTGAGTTGCTCTGCTTTTCATCCATCCATCCCTCGCCTTGTATTAGCAGAAGGCGGTAGGACAAAATGGTTATTAATCTGGACTCTGAACACAGGCTGCCAAGGCCTGAATCTCGGAGAGCTCGAGTGACCCTGAGCACTCATTCAATGTTTGCGAGACTCATTCATTCATTCATTCATTCCACAGACAAGGTAGGGGTGCCCACGCTGGCCAGGTGTTGTGGATCTGTCCTATCTGTCTCCTTCCTTGGGTCTCTGTCCTTCCCTCTCTTGGGGCAGAATGATCTGCCTTTTCCCATCTCTGTGTCGCTCTGTCTCTGACACTAATTTAGCACTGACTCCATGGTGGTGCTGTGCTGGGAGGTGCTGAGGACACCGTGGTAACCAAAATGGCCCTGCCCTCACGGTGCTCCTAGTTCAGGCCCATCACCAGACAGTAACAAACCCATAAGCAGACAGAGGCGTCAGGGCCAGGACGGGGGAGCCCAGGGGCCTGTGACAGAGCAGAAGGGGTGCCTCTGTGTGCTCAGAACAGGTCAGGCCCAGAGCTAGCATTCAGTATATGTTTGTTGACGGACAGACTCACTGTGGTGAGGAATGGCACCCCCACCCTTCCAGTTGCTCAGGCCAACAGCTTTCGTCCCCCTCAAGTCCTCTCTTCCTCTCTCACACTTCATATAAGATTTGTCAGCGAGTCCTGTTGTCTCGAGCTCCAAAATATACCCAGAACCCACCGGTGTCCCCTCTTCCCACTACCCCAACTCTAGTCCCACCCACATCTCCCACCTGGACCAGTCACCCCTCACTGTCTTCCCGCTCCTGCCCCCTCACAGTCTGTTCCCCTCATGCAGCCAGAGGGACCCTGTGAACACCTGCGTCAGATCACATCCCTTCTCTGCCCAGTATCCTTCTGTGGCTCCCTCTCACATAGGATAAAACCAAAGTCCTCTCTGTGGCTCACAAGGCCCCGTATGACCCAGCTCCATCACCTCTCCCATCCCATTTCCTCCCTCTTCACTTGGCACTCTGCTTTAGCCACACTGGCCTCCTCGGTGCTCCTCAAATACACACACTCGGCTCACTCCTACCTCAGGGCCTTTGCACTGGCTGTTCCTTTTATCCAGGCACTTTCCCCTAAACGTCTACATGGCTCCCTCCCTCCTTCAAGACTTCCCTCAAGTGTCACCTTCTCAGTGAGGCCTCCCTGAACACCGTGTCTAAAGTTTCACTCATCACCACCACTACCCCAGATCAACACCCCACATCCTCCCCCTCCCTACTGCATCTTTTCTCCTTCTTGCTCACACACCATATTTAACTCATTTATCTTGCCAACTCTGTCTCCTGCCCTAGAACATTAGCCCCACAAGGAAAGGACTGGGCCAGAGAAGCTGAGCTAAGAAGGATGGAGAGACTCAGGTCTGAGATGGAAAGGGTGTCAGAAGTGGGATGGGAAGATGGGAAGGATTTCAGGGCCAGGAGGTGGGGAGAGGCATCATGGACAGTGAACAGGAGACCTCAGGGCTGGGAGGTGGGACAAGGGAGCGTCAGCATCTGGAGAGTGTCCAGGGCTGGGGGAAGCTGGGAGGACACAGGAACAAGGGACGCTGCTGCCCCCAGGCAGCCCCACTCACCTTGACCCTGAAGGGGCAGCGGGTCTGGTCCACCAGCATGATGTTCTCGGGCTTGAGGTCGGCATGGATGATGGCCAGCTCCTTGAGCCGGGCCAGGGCTCTGAGCACCTGCAGGGTGACTGTGCGGATGTGGCGGGCAGGGAGGGGCGCGAAGTTGTTCTCCTTCTGGAATTCGAAAAGGTTTTGCTCCAGCAGCTCGAAAACCAGGTAGAACTTGAGGGCGTCGTGGAAGAACTCGAGGAAGCGGATGACGTGGGCCTCCTCGGGGTCCAGGCCCCTCATGCAGCGCAGCAGCTTCAGCTCGTTCTTGATGATGCGGTTGCGGTAGGCGTCGTTCTTGAGGATCTTGATGGCCACCATCTCGCCCGTGCTTCGCCGCCAGCCCTTGGCCACCTCCCCGAAGGTGCCTTTGCCCAGCACCTCGATGATGTCATAACAGTCGGTCTCCGACTGGATGGTGGCCATGGTGCCCCTGCCACCAGACGCTTCCTGGCTGCGCCCTGCCCTACGGGCTCTGCCTCTGAGGCCGCCCACCCCACCGCCGGCCCCGAGCCCCCGCCCAGTGGGGGAAAGAGAACCACACTCGTGCCTCCCCCACGAGGTTCGCCCCCGCCTCCCTGGCACCCCCCAGCCCCCTGGGCCACACGGCGAGTCTGCCAGGGGCTGCACCCCTCCCCTGAAGCCCTCTCAGCGTGGGACGAGGGGCCCCGGGCCCTCCCCAGTGGGTTCCAGCGTTGCTGAGTGGCTCTGGTTCTGTTGTCGGAGACCCCAGCCCCTGGCTGGAACGGGGGCTGGGGAGGCAGGTCGAGCCCCTCCCCCACCCAGCAGCGGAACCCTGCAGGTGACAGGTGAAGGGTCAACTGAGAGGGGGTCTGACGGTGGACCTGGACTCTGGCAGATGGGAATGGGACATTCCTATATAGAGGCGAGGAAAGGCAGGCTTTCCTAGCTAGGGGAATTGTGTGTGTGTGTCTGTGTTCAGAAAACACCTACCCATGCCTGGGGCTGCCGTGGGGGAGGTGTCGCTTGGGCAGCGCCCCGTTGTAAACAGTCTTGAATGCCAGGCTAAGGAGTTTGACTTTGTTCTGAGGGCACTGGGGAGCCACAAAAGGGCTTTGAGCAAGGGAGGGCAGGGTCAGGTTTGAGGTGAGAAAGCTGCTATGTGAAGAAGGGTGGGTTGGAGGGGCCAAGAGTGGAGGCCCCGAGCCTGGAGCAGGGCCCAGCGGGGAGAGGTTGGGGAGGCGAGGAGGAGGCTGGCTGATGAGACACTCAGGAGGCCAAGAGGCCAGGCTGTGGACTGACAGGTGGCGGGGAAGGAGGGAGAGCCATCCAGGGCAAGGCCCAGGGCTCTGGCCTGGGTAATGATGGATGGTCCCTGAGACAGGGACATGGACAGGGAGCATTTTGGAGGAAGGGATGCTGAGGTCAGATTAGGAAATTTAACACTGAAGCATTTAAACATGTATTGAGTGCTTCAGAAGCTTTATCTGATCCTGACCACATACTTCCTAATAGCTCCATTTTATAGAAGAGAAAACCGAGGCACAAATAAGTTTTAAAAATGCCTAACATCACCCAGCTGGTTTGGACCCCAAACAGTCTGGCTCTGGAGCCCAGCTCCGAACCACCACCCCAGACATCCTCCTAGTGCCTGGAGGACGCCCAGGGGAGGCGTGCAGAGGGCCCAGGAGAGAATGTGGGAGTTGTCGGCACAGAGGTGAGGAGTGGAAGCCATGGGGAAGGTGACACGGCCCAGGGAGAGTGTGGGGGTGGATGAGGGCCTGGGAGGAGCCCTGAGGGCCCAAGGGGCACGAGGAGAGAGAGGAGTGGGGAAGTGAGAAGACAGCGTTCAGGAAGGAGGAAGGGGCCCTGAGAAGTCAGGACAAGGGAGACAGGGGAAACCCTTGGCGTGTGGCCACGGAGAGATCACCTTGGACACTGACAGGTCAGCGGTGGTGAGAGGAAAACCCCAAATGCTGGGGGGCTGGGCAAGGGGTGTGTACCATAAGCGTAGACGACTCCTGCCATGTTTGGTGGGGACAAAGAGAAAGCATGTGACAGGGCCGTGACCTGAGGGGGGCTGGCTTGAAGGGAGAAGGTGCTGGAGTAAGTGGGGGGTCTGTGACAAGGCAAGGGCACGGCCCTTTATCCTCTGGGATGGGAGGGTGGAGATGTGAACTGAGTGGCGGGGCGGATATGGGGCATCAGGGGAAATTTGGGACCGGACAGGGTGTCTTCTTAGTCCAATCTAGGGCATCATAGAGAGACGTGGGAGAGTCTAGAGGCCTTGGTGGGGACTCAGATCCTGAGGGGGGATGGGTCCCTGGGAGCTGAGGCCTAGCCTCGACAGGTGCTGAGGACCCTGGGACCTAGTCCTAAGAGGTGGTCAGATAGCTGGTGGAGGCTCTGAACCCATGAGCCTGGAGAGGGGACCAGGAGGAGCCTTCCTGGGTGAGGCCGGGCTGGACCAGGCAGTCAAACCAGCCAGACAGGAAAGGGACGGCCAGGATGCGGAGGTGTTCTTGGTGCCTTGGTGGCGGGGAGACGGCCAGTAGAGGGCAGGTGGGTAGCAATCGTTCTGCTCTCCTAGGGCCCCCAGGGCTGTCCTGCCAGCAGTGGCTCCCCAGGACAGGCAGAGTCCCCGACAGAGGGCTGTCCCCGCAGCTGTGCTCTTCTGGGAACTTCCTGGAGTCCTGCTCAGAGGCCCCTGGTAATTCTGAAGGACTAGGGCAGGCTCCCCTCCTACCTGACCCACCCCAAGCCTCCCTGGCCTCCTCAGACCAGGGGTGGCCTGTGTCTCCCACACACAGGCTCCCCTCAGGCCAGGCTCAAGTCCCCCCTCCTTCCTCCTTGGGGACTCCTTTGTCTGCACCCTCCCGACCCCTCCCACACACGGAGGAGACAGACACAAGGCTACCTCTGGATTACTTTATTCACATGGCTTGGCAAGATACAGTCACTCCTGCCAACGAGCTGGACACGAGGCCTCCCCAGCCCTGCCCTGGTCAGTCGTCCACCTCCCGGCCCTCTGGGGTTAGTGCTAGTTATCTCACACACAAAACAAGGGGCAGGCAGACGGGAAGATGGGAGTGGGGTCTCCCTCTGCCCAGGGGCTTCAGATGACAGCAGCCTGAGCCCCCTCCATCCTGGTGGGGCCTGGAGCCCCTGTCTCGGAAAACCCCACACTGGGCAGCCGAACCCGGAATCCACTCTCTTCCTGCTCCCCACTCCTGCTCGGGGCCTTGGGGCTTAGGGCCACTCGGGGGAAGCGGAACTTGGGGGACTTCTCCCCACCAGCGGACTTGGGGGCTGCCTCGCCCTCCTGCCCCCGAGAGGCTTTGGAAGGGTTAGCCAGGCCCACACGGGGCAAGCGGACTCGGACGCGACCTCGGCGCCCGGAGGCCCCTTCCCCGCCACCCTCCTCTTCCTCCTCCTCTGGGCTGGGGGAGCCTTCCCCGGTGACTGCCTGGCTCTGGCTGAAGCCCACGCGGGGCAGCCTGAGTTTGGGGCTCTTGGCCTTCTCACCCTCCTCAACCCCCTCCTTGGCCCGCGTCAGGCCAAACCGGGGCAGCCGCACCTTGAGCTTGTGCCCAGCATCCCCCTCGCCCTCTGCCACCTGGTACTCCGCGTGGCTGCCCACGGCGGGTGGCGAGAGCTCCACGTCGGGCAGCGAAAGGCGGAAGGTGCGCTCGGGCCCTGGGGGCTGCTCCCCAGGCCCCTCTCCCCCAGCCCCAGCTCTGGCCCCCAGCGTGGGCATCTTCAGCCTCAGCCCACCCTCGCCTGTGGCTGCCTCACCCACCTGTGCCTCTCGGCTCAGCCCCACGTCCAACTCAAGCTGGGGCACTGTCACAGCAGGCATCTTGAAGACGCCCTCGCCCACCAACAGCTCACCACTGGCCGTCTGGACTCCAGGCAGAGACAAGGTCACCTGAGGCACCTGGACCTTGTAACCTGCCGTGCCCTCTGCTGGAGGGGCTGCACTCTCAGCCTGCTGCCCCGGGGTGGCCTCCCCAAAGCTGGCCAGCTCCACCTGGGGCAGGGAGATGCCCAGGGGCATCCTCAGACCCGCGTCCTGGCCCTCAGTGCCCACCCGCCTGGTCGTGGATACGTGCAGCCCCGATAGCCGTACTCTGCTGACGGCCACCGCCCCCTCTGCGCCCCCTTCCTCCTGGGCCCCCAGCGTGACCAGCTCCACCTCGGGGATCTTCAGCTGCCCAGCTGTGGACTCTGGCTTTTCTCCGGGGCTGACACGCTCACCTTGGATTTCTGCTTCCTTTCCTCGAGCCAGCCCAAAGGAGGGCATCTTCAGCTTGGGCATCTTCACCTTCCCATCCCAACTCCAGCCCTTGCCCTCCAGCTCGACCGCCCCTGGCACTAGTTCTCCTGCCTCGGGGTCCCGGCCTCTGACCCCAAACTTGGGCAGAGCGAACCGGGGCCCCTTGAGCTTGACATCAGCCCCTGCCACCTCCACCTTGCCCGAGGGCAGATGGGCATCCAGGCCGACCTGTGGGATGGACAGATCGAGGGCGGGCAGCAGGCTGGCCTCCCCCGCCCCTTTGGCCTCAGCATCGGTCCCCGCCCGAGCCTTTGGGAGTGAGATGGCAAATTTGGACACCTTCAGCTTGGTGGCCCGCCCAGCCCCCTCGGCCTCTGCCTTGGCCACCTTTGGCCCCGAGAGTCCAAACTTGGGCAGGGAGAACTTGGAAGAGGGCTTGCCTTTCGTCTCTGTCACCTCCAGCCGCCCTTCCTCAGCCTCCAAGGTGGGCAGCTGTGGAGTGACAATCTCAACAGAGGGCATCCGGAAGGCCAGTTCCCCGACCCCTGCTGCCACCCTGGGGCCCTCTGCCCGCTCCGCCTTGCCCACTTCGGCTGCTGGGACCTGCCTCTCCAGGCTGAGAGCCCTTGGCAGGTCCAGCTCCACTGAGGGCAGTGTGAGAGAGGGGACACCCACACGAGCCTCGCCGCCCACCTCTGGCTGCAGACAGGGAAGTGTCGCCAGCTTCCCGGAGACCTCAGCCCCTGCCTCGCCTGGCTTGCCTCGTGAGGGGGACCCCGCCCTCCCTAGCTTGGGCATGGTCATCTTGGGCATCTTGAAGCCAAATTCCATCCCCTCTGCCTGCTCTGCCCCGGGAACTTGGAGCTCCACCTCCGGAGCCTTGGGCAGCTTCACCTCGGGGACCTTCGGAAGACACACATCCGGGACCTTCGGCGCCTGCACTTCCGGCAGCCGCATCTCCGGCATCTTCGGCAGCTGCACCTCTGGGAGTTGCACGTCGGGCACGGCCATCTCAGGCACCTTGGGGAGTTTTAACTCCGGGAGCTTCATCTCGGGGAGTTGCACGTCGGGGACTTTCATCTCTGGGACTTTTGGCAGCTGCACCTCCGGGAGTCGAACCTCTGGCACGGCCATCTCGGGCACCTTCGGGAGCTTCACCTCGGGGAGCTTCACCTCGGG